AAATTTCAGCCCAAAGGCATTCAGCTCTCTTGCTCAGTAGGTTGAAAAGCCTTACGTGCTGTCTCTAATCAGTGTTAAAACTCTCTCTCAGTGCAACAATGAATGAATGGAAACCCAAAATCTCTGTGAATGTTTATGAAAATTAATAAAATATAATTATAGAAAAAAAAACCTCTCTCTCAAGTCTAGGGAGTTCCTGGAGCAGGTGCAAAGAGGTGCCCCACTCCTGTCTCTTCTTGCTGGTGGTCTCCCAGTTTCCAATTCTAAGAGTTCATTTTAAGAGTAGTGAGGTGGCAGAACTGAACAATCCTCTTGTGTTTCTTACACTTTTCTAGGTTATCCATGCACCTAATTTGCATTATTAGTAAACTGTTCAATTTTTGTTGGTGGGCCACACACAGTTTATTTGCATGTTGTTTTTGTTTGCCTTCAAGTAAAGGATGACTTACAGTGACCCTATGAACATAAAGCCTGAAGCCTTTCTATAACTATCAACATTTATCAAAGTTCATCGAGTTTCCAGAGGCATGTTGTTTGAACAAAAGGCCTGAAATCTTTCTATAACTATCAACATTTATCAAAGTTCATCGAGTTTCCAGAGGCATGTTGTTTAGCACTGTTATTGTGTACTGCCTGTGACTCACACCAACCCTGTGTGCAATATCTCTGAGCCACTCCCTATCCTGATTCTGTCTCCCTTTCTCCAACACACCTACCCCCATTACCACAGTAACTGTGTCAATCCATCTCATGAAGGTTCTTGCTTCCCAGCACTATCCCTCCACTCCTTCAAACATGATGCCCTTCTCCAAAGACTTGCCTCTCCTGGCCACATGCTCAAAGTATATCAGATGGAGCTTAAAATCCTTGCCTCTAAGCAGCAGCTTGGTTTTACCCTCTCCAGAACAGACCTATTTGTTCTCTAGGTGGTCCGTGTGTTCAGAGCTGACTCTCTAGTGGGTTGTCAGAGGCTGTAAATCACACAGGAGGAAATTGTCTGTCTTTCTCCCTTGGAGCAGTTGGTGAATTTGAACCACTTGTCTTTGGGCCACAGTGTCTTTTGAGTCACTCTTCTTTACCCACTAAGCCACCAGAGCTCCCTGTTTCATATAAATAGGATCATATAATACATATCCTTTTATTTGCATCTTAGGTCATATAACTGCTTGAGGAACCACTAGTCTTTTATGCCACGGCAGTAGATGAGGATTCTCATTTTTCCACATCTTCACCAACATAATTGCTTTTTGTTTTTTAAAATAATAGTCATCCTGGTGAATGTGGTGTCTCATTCTCTTATTTTGGTTGTATCTCCCTGAGAAGAATGGGAATCCCAGAACACTTCTGTCCTTATGCGAAACCTGTACTTGGACCAGGAGGAAGTCATCGGAACAGAGCAAGGAAACACTACATGGTTCAAAATCAGGAAAGGTGTATGCCAGGATGTGTCCTATCTCCATACCTTTTCAATCTATATGCAGAACAGATCATCTGGGAAGCTGGGCTCCGATGAGGAATGTGGCATCTAGATTGGAGGAAGACTCATCAACAACCAGTGTTATGCAGATGACACAACCTTACTTGTTGAAACTGAGGAAGACCAGCACTTGTTGCAGAAGGTCAAGGACTGCAGCCTTCAATATGGATTAAAACTCAACACTAAGAAAGCAAAGATTCTCACCACTGGGCTAATTGGCAGCATTATGATAGATTTGCTTGACTCCACAATCAACACTCTTGGTAGCTGCAGCCAGTAAATCAAGACTAATTGCATTGTGAAAATCTGCTGTCAAGGACCTCTCCTGAGTCCTGAAGAGCAACAATGTCAGTCTGGAGACTAACTCCACGCCATGTGTCAAATTACTTGCTGTGTGTCAGAAAACTGGATAATGACTAAGGATGATAGAAGAAGAATTGATGCCTTTGAGTTGTGGTGCTGGAGAAGAGTATTGAGTAATCAAACACTATCATTAACATCACATGCAAGCAAGATTCTGCTGAAAATTATCCAAAAATTACTGGGGCAATATATCAACAGAGAACTGCCAAATATGCTGTTCTAGGCTGGATTTAAAAGAGGTCGTGGTACTAGGGCCATTATAGCTAATGTTAGGTGCATCTTGGCAGAAAGCAGAGAGTACCAGATGAATGTCTATCTGTGCTTCATTGACTATGCAAAGGCTTTTGACTGTGTGGATCACAACAAGCTATGGCTGACTCTGAGAAGAATGGGAATCTCAGAACATTTGATTGTGCTTATTCAAAACCTATACTTGGACCAGGAGGCAGTTGTCAAAACAGAGCAAAGAGACACTACATGGTTCAAAATCAGGAAGGAGGTCCGCAAGGGATGTATTCTGTCTCCATACCTTTTCAATCTGTATGCAAAACAGATCATCCAGGATGCTGAGCTGTGTGAGGAGGAATGTGGCATCAGGAATGGTGGAAGATTCATCAACAACCTGCGTTATGCGGATGACACAACCCTGCTTACTAAAACTGAGGAGGACCTGAAACACTTGCTGCAGAGGTTCAGGGACTGCAGCCTTCAATATGATTGAAGCTCAACATCAAGAAAACAATGATTCTCACCACTGGACCAATTGGCAGAATTAGTGTGGATGGTGAAGAGATTGAGATAGTTAACAGTTTTAGTTTGCTTGGCTCCATAGTCAACATTTTTGGTACCAGCAGCCAGGAAATCAAGAGACGAATTGCAGTGGGAAAGTCAGCTGTCAGGGACCTCTCCAGAGTACTGAAGAGCAACGACGTCAGGCTGGAGACTAAGGTGCACCTGATCCGGGCCATAGTCTTCGCAGTTACATTCTATGCATCAGCGAGTTGGACAGTGAATAGGGATGATAGAAAGAGAATTGTTGCTTTTGTGCTGTGGTGCTGGAGAAGAGTATTGACTATACCATGGACTACTAGGAAAACAAACAGATTTGTCCTGGAGAGGGTGGAGCTGGGCTGCTCCTTGGAGTTAAGGATTCTGAAGCTTCATCTGACATACTTTGGGCATGTTGCAAGGAGGGACCAGTCCTTGAAGAGGGTCATCATGTTTAGGAGAGCGGAGGGACAGTATAGGAGAGGAAGACCTCGATGAGATGGGTCGATTCTTTGATTAGAGTGGTGGGAATAAGTGTGTCCGAGATGGTGAGGTTGGCAGAGGGTAGAGCAGGGTTTAGGACTCTTGTACATAGGGTCACTATAAGTCACAAGCGACTCGACGGCACATAACAACAACAACAACAACAACGATGGACTGCTAGGAGAACAAACCAGTTTGTTGAAACCAGGCTGCTCCTTAGAGGCAAGAATTTTGAAGCTCTGTCTGACATACTTTGTGGGCATATTGCTAGGAGGGACCAGTCCTTGTAAAGGGACATCAGACTTGGCAGTGTGGAGGGACAGCACAAGAGAGGATAATCCTGCATGAGATGGATTGACTCAGTGACTGGGGTAATGGGGGTAGATGTGTCAGAGACAATGATGTTGGCTCAAGATAGAGCAGGGCTGAGCTGTTGTACATAGGTTGCTATGAGTCGCAAGTGACTCACTGGCATTTAACAACAACAACAACAACGACTACCAAAAGAACAAACAGATCTCTCTTGAAAGTATAGCCAGAATGCTCTATAGAAGCAAGGGTGGAGAGACTACATAGCACATATTTTAGGCATAGTATCAGGAAGGGCCATCCTTAAAGAAAGACATTATGCTTGGAAAAGTAGAGGGTCAGTGAAAGATCAGGACCTTCAAGGAGCTACACTGACACAGTTGATGGAGCAGTAAACTCTAGCACAGGGACTTGAGGATGGACCAGGACAGGACAGTGTGTGTTCTGTTGTATAGAGGCTTGCTATGAGTTGGAGCTGACTTGGTAGTACCTAACAACAATCACTATTGATCCCTCATGGTGCAGCATTAAAGAACTTCATGGGAGGAAGTCAGTGGTTTGAACTGACAAGCCACTTCAGACAGCTTCCATATGTATTTACAGCCTTGGAAACCCTATGGGAAAATTCTGTTTTATCCAATTAGGTAATTATGAGTCAGAAACCAACAATTGTAGCGTTGGTTTATTGGTTAATGACTAATTATGTTGGGTGCCTTTACATATATATTATTTATATATATATATGCATATATGTATACATAGGCTGTTTGTACATCTCCTCTGGGGGAAAAAGTCTCTTCAAGTTGTTTGCTCATTTTTTGATTGGATTGTTTATTCTTTTGTAGACGTTTGTTGCATATTGTAGGTTTAAAATACTTAATATGTATAATTTCCAAATTATTTTCTCCTATTTTAGTTTATCTTCTCACTTTATTAATAAAATGTTTTGGTGCACAAATAATTTTAAGCTTGGTTGTGAGGGACCCCTCAAGAGTACTGAAGAGCAACCACGTAAGGCTGGAGACTAAGGTGTGCCTGATCCAGGCTATGGTCTTTGTAATTACGTGCTATGCGTTGGAGAGTTGGACAGTGTATAGTAGGGATGATAGAAAGAGAATTGATGCCTTTGAGCTGTGGTGCTGGAGAAGAGTGTTGAATGTACCCTGGACTGCTAGGAGAAAAAACAGGTCTGTCCGAGAGAGGGTGAAGCCAGAATGCTCCTTGGAGTCAAGGATTCTGAAGCTTCGCCTGACATACTTTGGGCATGTTGCAAGGAGGGACATCATGTTTGGGAGAGTGGAGGGACAGTGCAGGAGACCCTCGATGAGATGGATCAATTCTGTGAGTGGAGTGGTGAGAATGAGTGTGTTTGAGACAACGAGGTTGGCACAGGATAGAATGGCATTTAGGGCTCTTGTACATAGGGTCGCTATGAGTCACAAGTGACTCGATGGCACAGAACAAAAACAACAAAGGTCCAGTTTATCTTTTGTTTTTGTTGTTCTAATTATTTCTGTTTGCTTTTGGTGTTGTATTTAAGAATTCATTGTCAGTTGGTATATTTTCTAATTGTCAATAAAATACTATTTTACAGAAAAATGGTTACCACCTACCCTGGGCAGGATCGAGTAGTTGCACTGGTGGACATGGACTGTTTTTTTGTCCAAGTGGAACAGCGGCAAAATCCTCATCTGAGAAATAAACCTTGTGCAGTTGTACAGTACAAAACATGGAAAGGTGGTGGGTATGTATCGTTATTGTTAAAACCATCACTTACCATTTTAATGTGGAGGAATACCTGCTGGGTCTTATTTTTCAGATCTGTTTTTGACAGAATGGGGGCATCTGTAGCCAAGAAGTTTGTACTGTTAATGTTTATAGTCTACTTAACGTGAAGTTTTTAATTGTTTTTGCTCATCATGTAATCCTATTTTTCCTGTTTCTCCTCTTTTCTAACCTTAGAATAATTGCAGTAAGTTATGAAGCACGTGCTTTTGGAGTCACTAGAAACATGTGGGCAGATGATGCTAAGAAGTTATGTCCAGATCTGCTTCTGGCACAAGTTCGAGAGTCCCGTGGGAAAGCTAACCTCACCAAGTAAGAAGAAAAGTTCTCGTAAGGGGGGATAGAAGAGTTGAAATAATAACCCATGAGGTTAGGCAACTGGTGATTTAGAGCTACCTGTTTTGTGTAAATAATATCTAGAAAAGTTCCCTTTCATCAACCATCTTGTCTCTTTAACAAGAAAACCAATTTCGATAATACCTTTCAGGAATAGTACAAAGCCTTTTTAACCTCTAACAATTGTTGCCCTTGATGTTTTTTTATGTTCTAATATTTTAAAAGTTGGTTGTTATAATGAAAACTGAAAATGAATATCTGAATACTTTAGGGTACACTAAGTTACTGTTAAGGGTAATGGTAAAACTTGAGGATAGGGGTGATGATTAAATAACAAGATACATATAATATGTGTCGCTGAAATGTACATGTGAAGATTGTTGAAATATCAAATGTTATGTGTGTATGTACCATCTATACCACCCTCTGCAGTGGAGTTAGTTTCTCACTTGTAACAATCCTCCTGTGTTTCTGAGGCAGTAAAATTTAACAAATAGAGACTATTCTTCTTTTTCCCACAGAGCAACTGTGGAAACTGTGGAACTGCTAGCCTTTTCATTTAGCAGTGCAGCATTCTATATACTGCACCATTGGAGCTCCTTGTATTTACCACATCCCTTTCCTCTTCCCCACAAAGAAAACTCTCAAAAACAGAATACCAATTCCTATCAACTTAAGCTAAAAGTTTAAAGTGTTTCAAATAAGTAATTCAATTGAGAATGTAATTGAAATGGAGCCATGTTGCAAGGAGGGGCCAGTCCTTGGAAAGGGACATCAAGCTCGGGAGGGTGGAGGGACAGCACAAGAGAGGAAGACCCTTGATGAGATGGATTGTTTCAGTGACTGAGGTAATGAGAGTAGATGTGTCAGAGACAATACAGTTGGCGCAGGATAGAGCAGGGTTCAGGGCTGTTGTATGTAGGGTCACTATGAGTCACAAGTGACTCAACGGCATGTAACAACAACAAGAACAACATGTAATTGAAAATTTTTTCCAGGGAGAGATAAGTTATGTTCTAGTAATAGAGCTAAAATTATTTGTGAGAACTGAACATTCTTCAAGATTACCTTCTTTATTTTTTACCTAGCAGCAGTCTCACCTTAGATTCTAGGAATTTAGTTTTGGAAGAACCTATATAGGTATAGCTACATCAAAGATAGGCATAAGTCCTTGTAATTAAAATAATCCTAAAACTAGTGTGAAATAAGCTTATGTTATATGCCAGGCATTGTGTTAAGATCTTTATAGTAATTATTTCTTTCTAATCTTATATTTTTTAAATGTAGCGAATAGAATTAGCCAGGACAAGATGGGGTTCAGATCTGCTATTCATAGGGTTACTATGAGTCATATGTCACCTAACAATAACATTAGTATTACCCATTACCATCAAGTTCATTCTGACATTGGCAGAATAGAACTACTTTATAGGGAGCCCATGACTTTAATCTTGATGGAAGCAGGTGGTCACATCTTTCTTTCTTCTGTGGAACAGTGAGTAAGTTCAAACTACGGACTTTTTGGTTAACAGTTGAGCATTTAACCACTGCACCAAACCACTCAGGCTCCTTTAGTTTCTAGTGTTACTGTTGTTGAGCACCGCTGAGTCAGAACCAATCCATAGCTGATCCTCCAGCAGGTTTTCAGAGACAATGAGTCACGGGAAGAGACTGCCCACCTCTCCCACAGAGCAGCTGGTGGATTTGAACGATGAACATTCAGGATTGCAGTGCAGGTTCTTACCTCTAGGTCACCAGAGCTTCATGAACAAAAGGCCTGAAGACTTTCTATAACTCTCTTCATTTATCAAAGTTCATAGAGTTTCCAGAGGCATGTTGTTTAGGAAGTGGATGCCACTCCTGCTTTCAAGTATTAATATTACTCCCCCTTTATTGATGAGGAAACATATTTAGAGAGGTTGGATAATTTCAAGTGACATACTTAGGAAGAATAGATTGAGAGTTCAAACCCATTCTTTTAGACTCTAGTATCCACATATTCACAGTACACCATACTATGTGGTATGATGTAGGGATCATGCTTAACTTGAAACTTAAAATACTCCTAAATTCAGCTGTGAACTAAATATCTAAAGGTTAGAATGACATTGCTAACTCTACTGGATTTATAGGCAGAAAAGAAAATTAATTTGACTTACATTTTCTAGAATTTTGTGCTGGTAAAGGCGGTATAATTGCCTTGTTATTCATTTTTTTGTTATTACTTGTAACTTCTTGTTGTTAGGTGCCATTAAGTCCAATAGACTCATCGCAACCCTACGAACAAAAGATCTGAACCTAGTTCTGTCCTGAGCCATCCTCACACTTCCTGACACACATTGCAGCAGTCACCATGTTAATCCATCTGGTTGAGGGTCTTTCCTTCGCCGACCCTCCACCCTTCCCAACATCATGTCCCTTTCCAAGGAATAGCACCTCCTAGTGATATGTCTAAAGTATGTGAGGCAAAATCTCATCATTCTTGCCTCCAAAGGGCACTCTGGCTTCACCCTCTCCAAGACATATCTATTCGTTCTCTTGGCCATCCATGGGATGTTCATTGCTCTTCTTCAACACCACAGCTCAAAGGTGTCGATTCTTTATCTGTCATTCTTACTTATTGTCCAGCTCTCAGATGCATAGCTAGTAATCGGAAAGACTATGGCCTAAATCAAATGCACCTTAGTCCTCAAACTGACATCACTACCCCTCAATAATTTGGAAAGGTCTCTAACTGCTTATTTTCCCAGTGCAATGCGTCTTCTTATTTCCTGACTGCTGGTATCAAGAGTGTTAATTATGGATCTAAACAAGATGAAGTTGTTGACAGTTTCAGTCTCCTCTTATCCTTCATGACCCTGACCATTGGTCCAGTGGTAAGAATCTTTGTTTTCTTGATATTGAGATGCAATCCATACTGAAGGCTGCATTCCTTGATCTTCTGCAAGAAGTGCTTCACGTCCTCCTCTGCAAGCAAGGTTGTATCATCTGCATAACACAGGTTATTGATGAGTTTCTCTCCGATCCTGATGCCACATTCCTCTTCATAGAGTTCAGCTTCTCAGATAATTTGCTCAGCATATAGATTGAACAGGTGTAGAGATAGAATACATGCCTGACACACTCCCTTCCCAATTCCAAACCATGCAGTGCTCCCCTGTTGTGTTCATAGTACATAGATAGAGAATTGCCAGAAGTTCAAGCAGCATTTAGAAGAGGCTATGGCACCAGGGGTGCCATTGCTGATGTCAGATGGATCCTGGCTGAAAGTAAGGAATACCAGAAGAATGTTTATTGTGCTTTATTGACTATGCAAAGGCATTTGAGTGTGTGGATCATGACAAGTTGTGGCTGACATTGAGAAGAATGGGAATCCCAGAGCACTTGATTGTGCTCATGAGGAATCTATACCTGACTCAGGAGACTGTTGTGCAAATGGTACAGGGGAGCACTGCGTGATTTGGTTTGTAACTTGTAGTTTCCCTTCAATATATATGACTGACTTCACAGTATGATTCTGAAGCTGTCATATACCAGCTTAAAATGGAATAATTTTCTTTGTCTTAAATCTTGAGGATAGTAGCACCAGAGAAGTACTTAACCAGTCAATTATGCAAGATTAAAAGGGCAGTATTTTTCCAAGGTAAAGATGAGAAACCAGAAAAAGGTAAAATAGAGGGATTCATGGAAATGAGACTTGGGGGAAGGAAGCAGCAGAAATGAGGCTATAAGATGGGTATTATACTTAATGTCATAAAACAACTTAATTGGTGCAACCACTATGGAAGGCAGTATGTTGCTTTTTCAAAATGTTGGTAATAGAAATACTATTTGACCCAGCAATTCCACTACTGGGAATATACCCTAAAGAAACCAGAACTGCAACCCAAGCAGATATATGCACACCTGTTTATTTTGGCTTTGTTCACAATAGATAGCAAAGAGGTGGAAACAACTGAAATGCCCATCAACAAATGAATGGAATACTATGCTGCATTGAAAAACAAAGAACTCATGAAATATACAAAATGAGTGACTCTAGGGACATTATGCTGAGTGAAATATCTTAGTCACAAAAAGGCAAATACTGTATAAATGCCACTGTTGTAAAATGGGACTGACATTGGGGTTGAGGGGAGACTGAGAAAGAGGGAATAAATAATGTATACTGCTCTGAAACAGATGAGGGAAAGAACTGTTTAAAGCCATGTATGATTTAGGTATTATTTTCATGACAGGAGTCCAGAATGAAGGCTGCATAGTGGAGTGGACCTGGGGGGAGGCATTGTATAACAATGAAAGAATTTTTCTTTTACTTTTCAAAGAGAAGAATGATTTGAGGGGGAGGGGTGGGCAGAGTGAAAATGCAACAATGAATGAATGGAAATCCAACATCTCTGTAAACATTCATTAAAATTAATAAGAAAAAAAAGGCAAATATCCTCACCATTGGGCCAATAGGCAACAACATGATAGATGAAGAAAAGATTTGAACTTCTCAGCAGTTTCATCTTGTTTGGATTCACTCTCAACCCCCTTGGTACCAGCAGTCAAGAAATGGGCCAGGTGGCTCCAGGTTCTGACTTCTGTGCCAACACCATGTTCAGAAGGAGAAACACTGCCCCGTCTTCACCATCACAGCTATATCTCAATCCACTGTTGCAGTCCCTGTGCCGTCCATATTCCTTTAACTAGGACTGTGCTGAGTGGATATATGAGAGCAAGCACTGATTGAGGCTACGTGTGGTCAGAATTCTGACAGAGCTGCTTAAATTGCATCCAGTTCAGAACAGACTTTCATGTGAATGGAAAATGTTCAGGTGCTAGATAAATGTACAAGAACACTCCAAAGTGGGACTTGGAATCAAAGAAACTGGCACACCCTGAGAATGTAAGATTGACGTTATCCTGGTTTTTCTAATAAACTGACCATGTATGGCTAAAAGTATTTTAATAAGAACTCGAATTATTTTCTACAAAGGTAGTACTTGACAATCCTCTTGTCTCAACACACTGACTGAAGCAGCTGATGGCTCCTTCAAAGAATGCTTCATTCTTTTCTCCACCATCAAATAACTTCTCTCAGCTTTCCCATGCTCTTCTTATCTGTAGCAGGCTCATTCATTTGCTAAAGGAATAACAACTTGATAAACAAAGCCGTTTTGAATAAATGCACCATGTTTAACAGAAATATGTTTACAGGGCCAAATTGGCCACAGTACATTTATGTTTTTGAGAATTAATAAATACTTTGCTTGTATATTGATAATCTAGTCACACAGCTTTTTTGAATACACATGACATATGTACATAAAAAATTGACAATATTTTTTTAAAGAAATAAAAAGATGTATTTCATTGGGAAAATATACTGTCCGAGACCTACAAAATGCTGAAGAACAAAGATGTCTATTTAAAGACAGAAGTGCCTATGATCCAATCCATTGTCCTTTCAGTTACTTGCTATGCATGTGAAAGCCAATTCGTTCTGTAGTTTTCTCATGTGAGAAAGACAACTAGAATAACTAACACTAGTTTTCATAGAAAGTGAAGAGGTATAAATAGTCCCATTTTATGATAAACTAGGTTCAACAACAACAAAAAAGAACTTTAAATTCCATAGGAAGTCCAAAGTAAAGAAAATCTCCACATGTTGCTGTAGACAGCTAGTTCTATAGGACTGGAAGAACAATACCATTAAGTTACTATCCTCTGGGGAAACTCTGCCACACCAGTTTTACTATTATCACAATTACTGGGCTTGTGCCTGCCTCTGATTTAGCTGTGCCTATGTGAGTTGTTCCAAGGCTAATTTCTAGAATTTTGGTGGACAGCTAGGTTAAAAAACAAAGAAGGTAATCTTGAAGATTGTTCAGTTCCCACAAATAATTCTAGAGATTGTACTAAAATGTCATTTTGACTCAGGCTTCCCTGGAAAAGCTGTTCTACCCAGAAGGCTCTCCACACTGTAGATGCTTCAGCTTGATGATTTGAAGTTTGGTGTGTCTAGTAATGATGATTTGATGGGGAGTCCAAGAGGTGAGGGCTAAATCCTATGTTAACCAAACGTACCAGTGGCTGAAATATAAAATCCATATATCACTTATTAATTTATAAGAAACATTCTGAGGAAGACCTGATAGACTATATAGTCTTCTTTGTAAGTTACTTCTTATTTGAAGACAAAAATAAAAGATGACTGGTGGATATATGAAATAACAAAAGAGGTCATGGCCTAGTGGCAAGAAGCTGCAACTACAATCCCAGAGGTGCACGGTTCAAATCCACCAGATGCTCTGCCGGGGAAGGAGGGGCAATCTCCTCCTGTACCGGTCAGATCTGATTTGACGGTACACGCACACAAAAATAATTAAAAAAAAATATTAAAAAAAAAGAGGTCATAGTAAAATGTGTTCTAGTTAAACTAGTCTGACATGTTTCCTTTCTCAAACTAGTCTGACATGTTTCCTTTCTCTTTAGAGAGATGTTTGCCATGTAGACATGTTAATGATCTGAGTGTTGTCCCCCGTAAAATTGTTTCTTTGCTTAGTTTCTGTTACTGACCATCTGCCTGTTTTCCCCTTCATTTGGTTTACTATCTGATCTTTTTAAAGAGATTTCACTGATGGTTTATGATTTTATTGTTCCATTAAGGGAGAGAATAAAGCCAACAATCTTATTTTTTGCCTACATACATGATCCTTCTTAGGTACCGGGAAGCCAGTGTTGAAGTGATGAAGATAATGTCTCGTTTTGCTGTGATTGAACGCGCCAGCATTGATGAGGCTTATGTAGATCTGACCAGTGCTGTACGAGAGAGATTGCAAGAGCTTCAAGGTCAGCCTATCTCAGCAGACATGTTGCCAACCACCTACATTGAAGGATTGCCCCAAGGCCCTACAACAGCAAAAGGGACTGTTCAGAAAGGTACTTCATAGCAACATACTGCTTCTGCTTCCTGCTTTTGGACCTTCCTTTGCTTGATCACACTGATCCTTCTTGGATTGACTGAAAGGAAATGTAAACTCCAACCTAAATGAATGAGAAAGACTCATATGGAAGGATGCACACATTTTCTTATTATCCAATGGATATTGAGAAGCTGTGAGATCTATGAAACAAGTTTCTTTTAGATCTAACTAGAGCAGCAGGTTAGTGTTTAACAGTAGAAGGCTGAATGAGTACTTCTGACACTTGTGGATTAATTGAAATTCTTAATTTAACAAGGGTAAGAATTTTGGGAGGAATTTTGCTAAAAGGGAGTAAAAGTACTCTGGTCAATTCTAGTCAATTTCTAGCACATTATAACCTATAAACTATGGGTTATGCAAAGCCCTTTTCGTTTCTTTTTACTTCTTTTACCTATCATAATGATTCTCCTATGCACCCCCTTCTGACCCACACTCTAGGATTCACTGCTGTATTTGACATATCTCTTTAAACACATTATAAATTATATAATACTGCTTTGTGTGTTTGTTTTTTAATTTATTCAATGTTAGTATGCTATATAAGTCCAATTATTTTTTTTTTCAATGATGGTTTTAGAAATCTATTCAGGTGACTATGTTTTTGTACAATTAATGGGTTTTTACTAACCAAAATCTTCTTGTTTGAAATCCACTGAGTAGCACAGTGGAAAAAAAAAGCCTGGTGATCTGTCTTGTTGTTGTTGTTGTTGTTGTTATGTGCCATCGAGTCGTTTGCGACTCATAGCGACCCTATGTACAACAGCCCTAAACCGTGCTCTATCCAGTGCCAATCTCATTGCCTCTGACACACCCATCCCAATTACCCCAGTCACTGAATCAATCCACCTCATAGAGGGTCTTCCCCTCCTG